TCTGCTCAGGTCCCTTCTGACCCTACCAACTACGAAACTGAGATTGACCAGTTGATCCTGGAGCCTCTTGCAGTCAGTTCCTCGGCTGCGGGGGCTAAACACATGCGTGCACATGTGTTTAGCCCCCGCAGCCCTCTTCCCCCCCACCCCCACCCGCCCAGCAGATCAGTTGGTGTGGGTGAGGGACGGAGTGCAGGAGCAGCCTGCTGAATGGGGTCCTGGCCGGGGGAGTGGTGGGATTGAGCGCTGGCAACTTGTCGGGGGGGCTCCTGCTGCTGCTCTGTGCACCCAGCAGAGGCCCTACAGCGAGTTTTCAGGTAGCTGAAGCCCTCCATGGACATGCTTCTAGTGCCACCACCACCCAGGAACAGCCCAGCCTCAGCATGCTGCGGTGCAGCCCCAGCCTCTGCTGGAAACAGCCTGGCCCCAGCCCGCAGCTGCAGCCTACCCAGCCCCTTTCCCTCCCTCCCTCACTGCTGTTGGGCAGGGGATGCAGATTGAGGCCTCGGGTGAGGGAGGCAGTGGAGCTAGGTCTGGGGCCGTGATCTGTCCTGCACCCTACCCCCCACGGCCCTTTCCCCTGCCCCTGCCCCTGCCCCTTCTTCCACAGACTTGCCTGCTGGTCGGAGGAGGGTGGGGTGGGGTGGCAGCACAGGGTAGATCTCGGGTTCCTTTAAAATTCCAAAAGTGATCTCTGACTTAAAAAGGTTGGGGACCACTAGTTTAAAGAAACATTTCACTTGAGCATTATCATGAAACAAATTTCCCATTCTTCTTCTTCCATGACCTCTCACTGCCAGCGTAAACAAAAATATCACTGTCAGACTACCATCACTGCTTCATAGGCAGTAAGTTGTTTGACTGCCATATTTGGAAAGCAGCCTCAACTCACTTTGTAACTCAGTTTGCTGTTCTTGCACTGTTGCCTAACAGTAACCTATGTTCTTTCATACTAGACTGTGAAAGGTGGAATTTCAGAGACACGAATTGAAAAAAGAATCGTCATCACAGGAGATGCAGACATTGACCATGACCAGGTGAGCCATTGTAAGCTGGCCAAACAAGAGCCTGTTCAGAGGTTACAAAAAGAGCTAATCAGTTGTTCTAATCTACAGATTACTTTCTGTGCCAGATTAGTGGTGGCCACCTTTTTGCTGTTGCACCTCAAGACCCCCTGCCCCAACATACTCCCTGAGTGCTGCTGTGATCCCTTCCCCCCGACAGGCATATCTGATAGTTTGCATCATTGCAGAATGGAGGCAGGGTGGGCTCATGCTTCCTGCTACGTAAAATGGAGTGGAGCCGCAGCAGGACACTGCTGTGAGAAATGTCAGTGCCAAGAGCCAGCTTAACACTTCCCCAGCCATGCAACTGCCCCATTTTTATATGGTGAATAAGGATCCAGAGCCCTGCACTCAGTGACAGTTGAGGCCCCCCATAGTGAGGGAGTTGGGCGGGGCTGGGGCTGGGGCTGGGGCTGCTGCCCAGCCTCAGCAGTGCGTGGGGCTTGGGCCCAGGGCTGGAACGTGCAGCCGCAGCGCCCTGATGGGGAGCAAGATGAAGCCGCGAGTGGCTTGTCCGGGGGGACTGGCTCCTTGCCATTCTGTGCTCTCCTGGAGTGGCTACCACCCCCCACTCCCCTCAGGACTCTGCAGCTTAGTAGGTGAGACCCAGTGCAGCAGGGCAGAGTGGGGTGGGGCAGGGAAGTTTAATGCTGCTGCTGCTGGGAGCCTGGCGCTGCCATGGTGCGGTCCCTCCTGTCTGCTCAACAGCAGCAGGGGTGGTGGCATGGAGGGCACCTCATCATGGCAGTGTGGCACTCATGGTGGCAGCACCTGGTCCTGTTCTGCCCTGCCCTGCCACGCTGGGTCCTGCCTGCTGGGCTGCAGACAACCCAAGGGGAGGGCAGCAGGGCAGGGAGTCCCAAGCCCACAGCCCACATCTGCCCTGCACACAAATCTGGGGTGCACGTGCTCCCCATGCACCACCCCAGAAGTGCATGCAGTGGTGGGGAGCCAGCCTTCTCCCCCCTCCGCCTGAGCCTGCGGTGGCCAGCCCACATTTCCCTCCCCTCCTCCTGCCCCACAGGCTCTGCTCTGGCTGTGCTGTCCATGGGAGAGGGGGAGCCTGGCTCCACGTTCCCCTCCATGGCAGCAGCTGCTGCCTCCCATGGGTAGCAGCCAGGGCTTGGGCACTGCTGCAAGGGGCTGCAGAACCAGGCCCTTGGCCTCATAGCCCTGGCAACTGGGGGTCCCCTTTGGCAGGGTTGGGAGCTGTGGGTGGGGAGTGAGGGGCACTGGCATATCTAAGCTGCTCAGCACTACAAAGCAGTTGTGAGGGACTGCTCATCGGGACAATGGGTCCAGGCATGGCTAAGGGGGCAAGGGGAGCTCTGATTTTTGATGATAAAAGCCCCCAAATCAAATGCCAAATGTATAGGTATTTAGATTGTATTTTATTATAGTGACTGAGGCACTGGTAGGCTTCCAAATTATATATATAAGTGGCATTTCATTTTAAGCATGAAAAAATGCAGATTTGGGGGTTTTTGATCAGAGAACTTATGTTTTGATCATAGAATTTGCTATTTTAAAACAGAGAAAACCAGGATCCATGCTGATCATGCACAATGTAAGATGAGCTGAATTAGAAAAATGTCTGCAAGTATCCCCAGGGTGACTCCTATAGCTTGCTGTCTTCATGCCATAAATTTATTGATACTTAATGACCATCAGAGTGGCATGTATTACTGCCGATACATTTCAGGGCATGGAAGGAGTGAACTGAATTCTGTTGCGATACTCTGATCACAATCTTTATAAAAAGCAATGCAGAAAAGGGTTGCCATTTTAATGGCTGCATCATTGGTTTGTTACAAGCACGTTTTTCAGTATTTGAAATAAGTGACTTATAATCATTTTCCAAAGGCTTTTAAGACATCAGGAAACTTTTAGTAAGTTTTTGCTCATGCTAAATGCAATTAAGACTCCAGAAATCATTTTAATGGTACTCCACAGAGATAATATTTACCAGATTGTAGAAAGTAAATGCCTTCATGTTAGGACTTCCAAAGCCTGTTCTTTTTATGAACAACAGCTGTCTAATGAGTGGTCATTGACTTCTAAGATTGGCAGTGATGGCTCAGTGGTCTGGATACCACATTTGGAATTCAATTTTAGTTATATGGGTCTGGAGGATACTTCATCCAAGAAAATGAATATATTGGGCAGTTCCTGTTGGAAGGAGGTCTGGGTCTGGAATAGTAAAAGTCATGGTTGAGATGTATATTGCCAGAGATTTGTTGGAAGCATATACTCGTCTGCACTACAGTTATCTCTAGCTAGAAGTGTTTTGTTGACCAGTATCATGCATCCATAATATGAGCTAGTCAGAGATGCTGTATTACACTGAGGTGAAAGAAACATTTCTAGTCATGATTGCTGTCATTGCCTGCCATGGGAGGCAGGTGTCAGCTGCAGTCAGGCTCGGCTGCTTGTATGTTGAAGACACCCAAAACCAGCCAAACTGGGTGTTAGTTTTCAGCTTGAAGCTATAAGCAAACTTTATTAACCATGGCCTGATCCAAAAACTATTAGGGGTTGAATTACTGGATTCTAAAGAAATGTCCAGTTTTCAAGGACAGTGTCATGAATTTATGGCTTTGTGTACACATGTTTACAATGGTTTGATTTTTACAACCCAAGCAAAATGTGAGTAGCCTAAAACTCATTGTATACTCTGAAACATATCTCATAGCTAATGGCAAATAATCCTTAAAAGCAGCATTTTTACAGTTGCTTTCAATGTGGTTCGAATATTGATTTGGCCTCTGGGTGCTCATGTTCTTTTCTGGGCTGTTCTATATCCCTTGCCTTCAAACCTACTTCTGCCTTTACTGCTATGTAAAATAAGTAAAAATATAAAAATAAGTTAGATGTCTACATAGTTGATACATATGCTGCCATTCCCAAAAAGGCACAGGGGAGCTTATAATAAAAGAGAAAAGAGATGATAGAAAGAGAATAAAATATTAAAATAGGAACAAATGACTTTCCCTCCCCCCTCACTTGGCTAGAGGATATTTGAGGACATCCTTCTGGGATATCTTCTTCGGCATATTTTGATGCTTCAGTGTTTGGAAAGTGCCTTCAGAGCCACTGTTGAAGACTATTGGGAAGTGCAAAGTTGAGCTGCTATTTTTACTGCTAAATTGACTGAAACTAATCTGAAATGCAGATGTTTGAAAGCTCACGCTTCTCTTGGCAAAACCCTTATTCAGCTTAGTTGAGGGAAAATAGATCAGAAGCATTCTTCACCATGTTAACAGCCCTCCTGAAATCTTCCTTCTTATGCTGGATATTTCATTTTTCTGTTTATTTGGAGATGAGAGACTCATGCACCAAGTCAAGGGTGGGCAGTTATTTTGGCTGGAGGGACACTTAATGAGTTTGGGTGGCTGGGGGGGGTGTGGGTTTGGGGGTTTGTGCGTGTGGCTGTGTGTGGGGGTACATGTGAGGGAGGGTGGGAGTGGTGTTTGCAGGGTGTGTGATTGTGTGTTTGTGGGTATGGTGGGGGTGTGCATGCGAGCTCCCCCTGCCCCCTTGAGCTAGTCAGCACTTGCCCTCACCCTGCAACAGCCCAGAGCCCATGGGCCCTGTGGAACCTCTCCACCACCGCCAAGGGGCCAGGTGGTCCAAGGGTGGTCCCCTCGACCAAGGGACCTGCTGCAGGCTGAACGAAGGCCCTCTGCAGGCCATGTTTTGCCCACCCCTTCACTAACTGAAGCTCAGGGAGAGAGAATTCAATGCCTGAACAGTTTCCAGGCATTAGAACTGAATCAGCAGCTGGATCCTTGAGTTAGAATCTGGTAATTCTCCCCATAGAGATTTGAGCAACTCCTGGAAATTAACAGGTTAATGCACAATTCTAAAAAAACCTGAATTGCAGTTTTACAAAACTACAGTGAAATCTGGTTAATCAGTCACAGAAATAGCTTGTCACTATGGTCTTATAAGTCATCGCACTGACTCCCTGCCAGAGTCCTATTGATTTGTACGCAAAACTTTTTGCCAATTCATTATCTGTTAAATCATAATTAGTCATTTCCAAGAGTACACCTGTGATAAATCACAATGGAATACGCTCTTAATAGTCTGCTTAAATGGTATTCTGCTTAGCACCTGAGCTCAACAGAAACATTGGATACACTTCATCCTTTCTTGCTTTAATCTACTGTTCCATTTTGCAGTTATCTTCTGTTTGTGGAAGCCACGCATGTAAAAGTGCATAGCAATGGCATGTTTTACCTCATCACAGTTATGTGATTTTTACATAGTGAAGGTTCCATATTTGTATAATAAGGGACTGTAAACTTAAAGTTTTATCTCTCTAATCATACAGTTTGCACATAGCAAGCCAGAGTGCATGCAGTTTGCACTTGGAATTTTTGCAATATATTTTTTATTATAAATGTCAAAAATCATTTGTTACATGGCATAAAATACAGCTTTCAAATCACTGAAAATGCTTACTGCTGGCAAGCCCCTTGAGGATAATTTAATCCTTACCAATCCCCTTGGCATGACAATCTAACCAGATTTGCTGCGTTTCCAGCTATCAGCTGTTTCTTTTGTGAACAGTCCCTTTCTCCATTATAATAATAATGTCCTCTCACTTCAACATTGACCTAGTTAATGGGACTCCACATTCTTGTTTTTATGAAATGAGACAAATATTATATTCAAAAGTGTGCCAGGTACTTGACACTCAACTCCTTTTCCACTAGTGCAGACATCTGTGGCATTTTAGTTGGTGGCTTTGGAGGCCCAAGTCACAAGGCAGTTATCTTTCAGGACAGCCCCTAAATCACAATCTTAAGTTTTTCACCTCCCAATCACCCAGTTGTCCCATACTGTGTCATATAGATGGCTATGAAAGCACCTTTCAAAGTGTTCCTGTGTAGTTTAAGTTCAGTTCCTGCATCATGTGGATATAAGGGCAATCATGACTTTTGTCATTTCATCCCAGGTCAGCAGATGCACAATTATAGTCTATTTAGGCCCTTTAAGAACAGGGGCATGTTATTTGATTATGGAACCAGCTGAATAGAAAAACTCTTTAAGTTTTGATCCCTGCAATACCTTCTGTTGGGGAAAATGCTTCTTTTTACTAGAAGAGAGGTCTGTTGACTTGCATCAATGGACACTCTCCGTGGAGTGTGTGGTGGGTCTCTGATGCTTTTAAATTTGCCTCTTAGTGTAGCGAGGAGAATTTCTCCCTGAAAGGCTACTTGTTTCCAGGAGGATTTAGCTTCAATATTCAGTTTGCTGCTTAGTTTCTGTTCAGATTGAAGGATTAAAGGAGTTTTCATTGTTCCCCAAAGATAACAGTTGTCTTTTGACACCATGTAATTCAAGGAGGGCATAGGAACATAGATCTGGAAGGGGCCTTCTGGGCCATCAAGTCCAATTCCTAGTAAGGTCTTGCAACAGTTTGTTTTTTTTTTCCTGGTAACAGTCTTAAAACCAATTTAGGAGTATAAAAGCTAATGAGTAAGTTCAGTCATTCCAGTTTTCATGCAATTTGAAGTGCTACAAAGATGGGAAATGCTAGAGTGAATAAGGAAGTCACTGCTGTTTATACTGCAGTGAGGATAGACAACCTTGGAATTGGGGCACCCTTTTGTATGGAGTATTTTACAAGGGCGCAAAGATGCCTACCCTCAAGACTTTCCAGAGAGTGACGGGCCTTACATAGATGGTGGAAAAGAATGTAGCATGCGAATGAAGTGGTCAGTGGCTGGGGAAGAAACAAAGGTGGCAGCATTATAGTTAGATTGGAAAATTGCGAGGGAGAGCAGTAAGTTGGTGTAAGCTTAGACTAGCAACTTGGAGAAAGGCACATGTTTTGGTCTGAAGCAGTGCGTCCTTGCAAGTGTAGGGCATGAGACAAGGTGTGGGAGGGTAGTTACAACTGCCAGAGAGCTGATCACAGGGCTTCTAGTATGGGAGTCTGCTGGAGCCAGTACTTTTCTACAAGCCACCATTAGACTGGTGATGCCAGAGCTCAGCAAATGGAAGGAGACCTGTCACCCAGACCTGCTGTCCCGGGTTGTCTCCCCTCTGACGTGGGTTGGGGTGGGTGGCCTAGTTCCCTCAACCAACTGCTTAAAGCTACAGACAGGTGAAATCCTGACACCGTGAAATTCAGTGCAGCCGGGATTTCATCCTTTATGTGTATAGGGATATGTGAGAGTCTGAAGTGAAATTCATTTTAAAATATGAATGTGTACATGGCCCAAAGTGCTTCTCTGAAAGTACTGTTTCTGTTTCAGGTTCTAGTGCAGGCTATCAAAGAAGCCAAAGAACAGCATCCGGACATGTCTGTGACCAAAGTGGTCGTTCACCAGGAAACCGAGATCGCTGAAGAATAGCCAGGTCAGGTAAGTGGGTGGAAGTCAGAAGTGACCATGTGCCAGGACCACCTTCAGAAAGAAGCTTTGCTGCAAACAACCATTAATGAAATAGTGTGAATTAAAGAGGATTCTTTCTACAGCAGGCAGACTGCCAGTGTTAGTTATCTAGATTTCATAGACGTTAGGGCTGCAGGGGACCTCACAAGATCATCAGGTCCAGCCCCCTGCCCAAAGGACAGGCAGTCAGCAGGGGTCAAATGATCCCAGTAAGGTAGGTATCTGTGCAGAAGGGCTCTGATTCAGTGGAAACATACTGAACTACAGTAGTTTTGAGGGACTGGCTGAGGGTACCAATTTCAAAAAGACAAAAAGTAGCTGAGAGTAGGAAGGGCTAGCATACATATCACAACAATCTGAGGGCAAGAAATGCTTGCTTCAGATGAGGAGGTGGGTTAATTTGGATAGACTGGATGCAGTTACCCAGCTGGGAATTTGGCTAAATCTCTGTCGTCTACAATTAGGGTGACTGTTAGCAACTGATTACGAGGGAAATTCCCTTGGGCTGTAGCCGGTCTTTCTGGTCATGCCAGATAACTCCTGCTGTACTGGCACTATAACACAGCAGGGCTGATTTACTGGGTGTGAATGGGGGTTAGATTAACAAGGACACAAAGGTATCTAGGCCCGATCTATAACCAGATAAGCACTCTTCTCCTGTTTCAGCTCTGTTCAAAACAAAGTGCCCAGATCAGTTTGAGAGCTGGAGAGGGAATGAATGGGGATTCATTATTTGACAAGAGGAGGTGCCAAAGCTGGCAAGAAGATAAGGCCCGTGTATGTTTTCAAACCTCCAGGCCTGAACTTGGAGTCCTAAAGCTGCACTGAGCTGTCTAAATAAAAGTGGCCTACTTTGTCAAAGAGACTGAGCACTTGCAGCTCTCGCCATACTAGGGGTTTGTAGAGATTCAGAAAAAATAATTAGGCCAGTCATTTGGGATGCTTACTTTCATGCACGCAGGTGAAAATTCAGACCTGTGCTTTTAACCCTCTGAGAAATGGAAGCACCCTGTACTGCTTCTCGCGCGGTGTCTTGAGAGACCTGGGCAGTTGTACTGGATGTGTAACCTTTCATAAACGTCTCTCTTTCCAGGAAGTGTTTCTCCCTGACTGAAAGAACGTGAGAAAGATGAATACGAGCAAAACAACAAGGAAACTACCTGGAGCACAAAGACCTCGGATTTACAATCTTTACCCTCAGAAACTGAACCTTCATATTGCTTATTATTAGGAGTTGTGCTTTGACATTTACTTGGAATTTTCCAGAGTACAATGGATCCTTTTGAATATAGTTTTTTATATTGTGACAGACAGTATGCCATACTTCTCACTGTACTGAATGTTTTTTTACAGGTTTTCAATTTTGCATTCCCCCTCTCTCAGCCTCTTTCAGATCCATTTTTACAGCAGAGGTCCCAGCAAAACCCATGGGGCTCTCAAAGGGCTGGCATTTAAGTCCTTTTTTTTGTCCAGCCTCATCAGGTAAAATGGAGGTAAAGTCACACCCGGTGAGGTGTGGAATTTTTATGTAATCAAAGATGAAAAGAAACCTGGCGATGAGTTGTTCTGCCAGAAGAGTCAGTTTAATAAGGCAGGGGCATTTCTGACTGCCTCCTACAATTGGCCATAGGTATTTCCAGAGACTCCAACCCACAATGCCCAGGTGCACAGAACAGAGTTTCTGCCTTACTCTGAATTTTCTAGCTTTTGTGGGTTTCAGACCCTTAATGTTCTTTGAACACGGTAGGGTTTTTGTGGTGTAAATTACACACACATGCATTTTAATAGCTGTCTAGATTAAGGAATACTGGAAGTTCCTTCGAGTGTCTCTTATACTGTGAATTGTAGAGCTTTTCAAGAGAACTGTGACAGGACACCTCCCCCTTCTGCTCCTCCGAGGACTGCATCTGCTGAATGCTACCTACCGGGTTTTTTTTTGCTCTTTAGATGCCATTAAATTAATAAGCCTATAGAAGTGTGTGCTTATGGGGTGTGGGCTCTGAATGCTATGAAATAGGCTATGCAGCTTTCACAGTGATAGGTTTCTGAGCGTCATCGATTTTTTTCCCCCCCCCCCCTTTTGTTTGTGTTTAAGTTTGTAAATCATGTTTTTTCCAGTACTATTTAAAGTTAAGCACATTACCCCTGTGCCTGGGCAGGGGGGGTGCACTATTTTAACTTAATTTAAAGTCCCTTAGACAATCTTACCTTAGACATGTAAGCTGTATTTGGACAGGCTATCCTCATGGGTGTAGATTGTTCTCATTGGTTGCTAAAGTCAAACTGCTTGCAAAGCAACCATAGACATGTTCAAAGCACTGACCACCCTCCCGACTCTCTAAATGATGTGTTTGTAATACTTTAGCTCCTTTACTGCCATACTGGAATGAAATACCAGGGCCAGAGTAGCCTGCACTTTTCAGTGTCTGGTTCAAGAAGACATGCCTGCTTTCTGAAAGGCACTAAAGTTATAGCATGTTTCCAGAATTCAATTATTCACCAGCCTGTGGCCTACTTACCTTTTTAAAAAAAATTCTAATTCCGTACAGTGTATTATGGGGAGGCAGGCATGACTAGCATTCTGTTCACGTGAATAGAAATTATAAATTTGTGAACTGGCCACTTTGTGGTCCTGGCTTTAAAGATAAGGGAATAATACTTTTTACCTAGGGTAGGGTGCACTTGATTTTATGGCAGTTCGGGGTGATTTTTCACTGCTACTGTATTTAATAGAAATGTCTTAATCACGCCCTGGTTTTTCCTTCCAGCAGTGTTTTTAAAGTGTTTGTTGAGTGTTTTTTTTGTAAAGAATATCCCCATAGAATTGCAAGCAATATGTATTTTTTTTTTAAAGGTAGGGTGTTGAGGTTGTACTTCTGTATCTGGTGTGGCACATCAGTGGTCATGAGGGCACTGCAGAGCCCGGGGCTGCTAAAGCTTCATTCCAAGATGAGGAGAAAATAGCAATAAAAGCTTTCTGCTATTTAAAGTTTGAACAATGTGTTTTAAAAAAGGACATTGAGTTTAGCTCAGGCTGAGCTATTACCACTTGGCTGGAAATAGTCTTTAAAATCACACTGTCACCACACTCTGTGTTTCTTAATTCAGTTTTAATTAAGCTGCCAGTATTGACTGGAGACCCCTTCTCTGTTAGAAGAATTATGGAGCTGCTGGAATTCTCCACTGCTTGATAAGCCTAGCCTTTGGCTGCCCTCGCAGGTCTCAGCATCCAGGTTCCTATGCAAGCCGCTCCTTTGTTTGAGCTATGCTGCTTCTCCCTACCTGCAGGCAGGTGCTACCACATGGAACAACTACACGGCAAGCTGTACTTTCTTGGTTCCTCCTGAGTGTGCCTCTGAGGTGCCAGCTCTGGCTTTCTGCCCTTGCTCTGGGTGGCAGTAGTGCAGTTGATCAACAGGCTGCAACCTTCCTGTTTAGCAACTGCGTTAACCTGACAGGCCCCACTGAGCATGGTCTTGGAAGTCTGTGCCAGAACACATTTGCAGTGACATGGACGCAGCAGCATCTTCAGTGTTGAGCATGAATTCATTCACCCAGAGATACACAGCACATGCAGCAAAGGGCTAAAAGGTCTTTATGTGAATCCTGCTTAAGTGTAAGGCCTCTCCATAGCTCAGGTGGGTACAGCTTATTCCAGCCCCTTTTGAAGTCTGAGGGCTAGCTGGTGTTGCTGCAGACCCTCTGTGTCAGTCTCACTCTGCAGCCTCCCCCTTTTTCCTGCAGGAGAGATCCTTTTAACTGCCTGTCTTCTGATCTCTTCTCAGCCTTGGCCAAGCTACTGCATAACTTTACTGGCACTAGTCAGGGAGCCTTTTTACAGCTACTAACTTGGCTTTTGGAGAGTGTCTGCTGAGATGCTCCTTGCCTTTTCTGCTTGTTCCCTTTCAGCATCCCCTTCTGCTGTCACCCCCATACACAGGAGTGTGCAGCAGTCATTGAAGAGCTTCTTGTGACAGGTTCCCTCATAGGGTTTAGAGCTACCAAATGTTTATCTTACCATAATACTTAGGCATTTGGTAGTTGAAAGGGTTTAGATACGCCATTTCCTCTAATGAAGGAAGCACTAAACACTGTCTTCACTGCAACCTAATGCTTTTACACTAGGTGTGGTATGAATTAACATAAAAATGATCAGGGTAGGCAAAGTTCTTGATCTTTCCCAGGTGGAGGAACTTGCCAGTGAGAGAATTATTCTTTTCCAAAAGGATTGGGTGCAAGTGTTTCTTGCACATAGCCTGCTTTTACCTTGGCTGTGGAGTCGCTGCTCAGAGGGGACCCAAAAAGCAGAGTAGTCTTTTTGCTGGATTCTGGGTAGCCACTAGCTGTGCTGCTCATTCATGCAGTTCCCTTTGGACATGAGCATTTGTTTTTTTTCTAGTTCCCCTTTCTCCAGCACACAGCTGCGCAGGGGCACAAGTCAGTCCAAAGTAAAGTGGCTTCTGAAAGTATAGGATAGCATGGACCTTCCAAGAGCCTGTTATGTAACCTGGAGAGGGATTCCTACCTGACTCCACCGAGTCTCACAGACAAGACCTTACATGTCAAATGTTCTCCTAAGCCAGAAGTTGAACCAAGACATTGATTGTTCCTTAAACTGCTCAGACTGGAACAGTTTAGCTTTTCAGAGAAACAGGGAAGCCTAGAGCTTTCAGTAACACACTCAATATTCCTCTGAGTTGCTTACTGCTAACACTGGAAATAATCTCTTCTACCTTAGCCAGAAACAGCTGCAGGGTTGCCTGTATCCTCTTCTGCTGTCCATTTTCCCCCTAACATAAGCTGGTCAGGATTTACTTTAAATCTGATGTGTGGTGAATTGTGCATTTTCAGGGGACCAGAACTGCTGGTATCAATATGAGTAAACAAGGTCTATTAGTAATATGGATGTTCCCAGCTATTCCTAATTCACAAAATCAGCGTGAGACTGTCTTGAATGTATAGTGTGTATTATTTGGAAGCTATTTATATATATGAATGAACATTTTCATAGAAAAGGTGGCAAGGAGCATCATGACCTGTGTCAATCAATTAAACTGGACTAGGCAGGTTTGTTTGCCAGACCACAGTCACCCAGCAGTAGTTATATTGAGGCCTGACTGACTTCTGGTTTTAATAAACTGGTTTGCTGACTTCATACAATGTACATTTACCTTAAAAGATGTTAGTGTCCCAACTTTGGGTTTGTTTTTTGGGTATTTTTTTTTACAAGTTTAATCTCTCTTTAGTTGCAAATATGAAGGAGCTTTGTAAAATTTTTAAGACAATGGTGAATTGTCTAGAATAGCTGTTTACATTTTTTCTTTACAAAAATAGGAAATATTGCAACAGAATAAAATTGGCAAATCTTTATAGTTTGAATAGTAAATCACAGGAGCTGTTATTTTGGACTTTTATAGTAAATCAAAGAAACAATTGCTGTAGTGTTTAGACAGACCTAAGTGTTCAATATTGCTTCTTGTATTGCATTTTTCAATAAACTTTCAAACAAACCATTGCCTCCAGCTCTGTCTTGACTCTCACCTTGTTCAGCAAGCACACTGTGCCCACTGAGGTGGTTCTTGTAGCTTGAAGTCAGTCTTCAGACATCCGCAACTAGGCAGAGCCAAAGGTGGAGTTGTTGATAGCACCCACCCAGCTAAATCTCAACAGCACTGTGAATGCCAGCCCTGCAGCCGTACTTGGATGCCTCAGTGACACAATATAAATCTAGGGTAAAGTTTTCAAGAGGTCTAATTGACTTAAATGCAGAGAGTCTATCCTTAGCCTAGAGGACATGGTGAACTATTTTACAGTAATGGGCGTGTTGTCTTCCAGGCACTACAGAAGCAGGCGTGAGCACTGCCTTCGAGAGCCCTGGTGCCAGTAACCTCGTTCTGCCACATAAGAGGAGGGACGCTAGTGTCACGCGAACACTCATGTCTCCTAGTCGCACCAGAATTGCTGTCTGCTGGGGGAAGGAGCTGTGAACTGTTGGGGAGCACGGTTCAGTGCAGAAGTGCAGTGATGTTTGCCTTCAACGTACAGGGAAGGGTGAGAGACTGTAGATGTCTCTAAGGAGCCTGGCAGTGCAGCTTTGCCTGAAGTTATGTTGAGCAGCCACTAGAGTTCCCCACAGCCCCGCACTAACCTGCAGCCACAGCACAAGCTGTGCCCCTGTTAAGCCTCTACTTTTCAGCATTGGCTTTTGCTTTGGGTGTCATTAAGCTGTTGGCATGTGGAACAGAGTGAGTTTGAATGGCTGTCCCTACAGGCACAATGAGGAAAATTTTCCAAAGCGCCCAAGTGACCAGCTGTGAGCTCCCAAGAGGAAAACTCTACCCTGTGTCCCTAAAACATCAAGTGTGCTTGATAAAGCACAGGATGGAGATCCCCACTGAGATCGAGATGCCCATGGAAGCGAGTCACAAGTGGACACCCCCTTGTACTTGACAGTGGAGCAACACCAGCTTTGTTGGCTCTAGAAGAGCCCCTACCTGCCACGGCTCAGTGGCTCCAGCAAGACTACCTCCAGAGCAGGTGTCACCAGTCAAGAGCTTCTGGCTTTTTGCTCCTGTCAGGCAGGCATCAGCCTTCTGTAGAGGGAGGACAAAATGAGGTGATAGCAACAGCTTTACCCAGACTTGCTGATTCATTCCCTGCTGGCTTAGTGTTCCCCTTCTCACTGGACCCCCACCCCTGGCTGGAGCAAGAACAGAATCCAAATCTGAGGCAAGAAGCAAGGGAGGAGCATGGCTCTTCTGCCACAAGTAGCAGGGCAGGCACGGCAGCACTCAGTAGCACCCGAGTACCTTCCCTGTGTCCCTGAGGCACTTGTACCTCAGTTGTTACATGGTTGAGAAGCCTGCATTGCTGCTATCACCTAGGTGAGAGCCAGCCTGGATATACGTGCATCTCTCAATTGTACTTTCATTTTCCTTTTGGGCAGGGGGCAATCCATCACAACACCTCCCAAGATGGGGGAGAACCACCTGAGTGGTGGTGACTCTTCCCAAAAGCTCAGAGCCAGGAGGAGAACTGAGCCAGCCTTTCCATCCTCTCCTCTAGCTACTCCCGTGCTAGTGACCATGTGTCCTCAGCAGCTGTTCCCATGCCAGCCTGTACAGGAGGGGAACTTTTGTATGACCTGCTTGTAGCCTGTTCAACTGCTATTTAAAGAGAGCTGCAGGTTTCCACAGTTTTCTTACCATGGGAAAGACTCGACTCCATCATGAAACTCTTTAAAAAAACCCAACACAAACCCCTGCTCACCAGCTGGGGGGAGCAGCATTTCCACAGATGAATGATGAAGTTTCACTACCCCTTAAATATGTGGCTTAATTCTTAGTTTCTAATCTAGGCACAGTGCACTTGTAGGTTCAATGAGGTGTCCTAACCCTTCTGTGGTATCTGGTGTTGAGTGTTAAATACCAAGCAAGAATGCAGCGGCTGGACAGATGAGTGCTATGAGGCTATTCCAAGAAATGGGGATGGGAAATACAGGAAGTGTGAGCCCCTGTAAACTCCTTATGGTCACAGCAACCCACCATTTCCCCTTTGACTTGTCAGCAGAGAGTCTGTGACATTCATTTGATCACACCACCTACCCTCCTTCAGCCTATTGCTTTGTTTAACTATGCCTTTGCTGCCAGCCTAGCTTTGCACTGCAAGCTGAGCAAACCATTTCCTCCCTCCCCTCAATACCCCACAGCGCTTGGTCGAGCAGAGTCCACGCAGCTCAGGAGATGGGAAGCCAGGAAAGGTGGAATGAATGGCACAACTGCTCCATCCACACACCTAGTCGCTCAGCTGTCAATCCTTGGTTTTGACCTCTGCTGTTCCTGCCGTGCAATAAGAGCTAGGACTAAGTCTCAGCTGCTCCCCTTTTGCACTCAGTTCTGGTGAGCGGCTTCCACTGCTGAGGCATAAGGGCCTGAGCTCCCTGCCCTGACTTCCTTGACTGCAAAACAGAAAAAAGTTTCCTTGGGCAAGGATTCAGGGCTGCAGCCTGCTGTAAGCAGTTTGATTGCTTTCAAGGCAGGTCACTTGGTCCCACTGACATCACAGAGTTGGCCCTGCTGCAAAACTAACAGTTGCCTCTGGCCATTTTGCTTTTAAGCAGTTCCAAGCGCTAAATCCCAACATGCAGCAAGTGGAACTGGAAAGGACCCATCCAACAGCCCCAAAAGAGGGGCAGGCACTGCTTCCAGAGCTGGAGCCCTCAGAATAACATGATTTACTTAACACATGGAGGGGGGGGATTTGCAAATGCATTAGCTGAACAAAATATCAGCCATCAAGCATGTGAACTTGTGCATGTCAGCCTTACTGGCTCTCTTCTTCTTTGGAGTGGGGGTAAGCCCTGGGCTGCTTCCTTTGTCTAACCTCATTATACTCGCACCGTGTCTCTGGAGCACTCGGATCTCCTGGATGGGCTTATTTGGAAAGGACAGCATATTACAAAAGTCACGTCCACAGTATCCCGTGCTGGCTCACATGCCCGTTAGCAGGCAGACAAAACAGCAGCTTGGCAAGAAAGTTTCATTTGTGGTGAAGTAAGATCTTCAGACTTTTTTGGGGGGGAGCTAAGATGGGGCAAAGCCAAAGAAATGTATTTAAAGGAAGCTTAAAAGTATTGTCTGAGCTACACATGCAGCCAGTCTGCAGGTTCATGGTCATTCACTTGCTTGAAATGTAAAAAAGAGGCACAAGGGTTTTGGCAGGAGCGCTAACTCCTTGCTTGAACAGTTTAACCATCTGTTACAATAGACTCCATACAGCTGAACTGTGGGGGAAGATTTGTATTAAACCTCTAACCCAGGACCCGATGGGAACATGCCTGTCCAACGCCAAACACAGGGCCTTGAAGGCATCAGATGGGAAGGGTAGTCATTGCTTAAGTAGGACGTGCCACCACTTTTGAGCTCAGCAGGGGGGTTATTTTTTCCAAGGGCCCCTTTCACGCAGCATCAAGTTGGACCCTTATGTAAGAAAATTTAAGATTAGGACATGTGAAAATCTCTTCTGACTGCAAACTACTTAATAAAACTACCGTGTCCAGGTTTCACTGCACCTTAGGGGGAGAAGCATGACGAACCTGCAGACTAGACTCATGACTCACTTAGGCAGTACTACATGAAAGCAAACCCAGTCCTTTACCAGATCCAAGTCCAAGGAAAGGGCCTGCTCTGATTAACCACATGCAAAGAGAGCCCAGCATGACACTCCCACCTCTCATTACTTTGCACTATTTCACATCAGCCAGAAAGCACAGTAAGATCAGGCTGACTTAAATAAGCTCCTGCTTTGAAGAGATGGATTCAGATACATCCCGCCAGTTCCCATCTGTGTTCCTTGCTTTGCAAGAGGATAAACGTCAGCTTAGATGCAGCTTCCCACGCCTCGATGCTGGATGAAGCTGTCAGGCTCAGCTGGGGAGGATGGAGCAGCAGGAGAGCATCAGTGCTAGTACTGCTGGGTACACTTCACCTCCACAACCAACTGGCAGAGGCACGTGAAGCTGAGTGAGGGGGCTGGGAGAGGGAAAGGGGTGAGGGGGGAGGCTGTCTTGGTAATGGCAACTCTTGGTGTAAGCCTCCTGCCCTACTGCAGCATGCAACTGCCTCCGGCTCAGGCTGGGTGTGTGTCACGGCATGACCACCACAGGCACACAGAAACCACCCGTGCAGCGCACACAGACATGCTCCCACTACCAAGGCCCACATACCTTCAAAAAGCAACAGCTGGATAAGGGGGCCCAGGCCAACACCGTAGACTCAAAGAGAAGTAGGGCTGGAAGGGATCTCCCAAGTCATCCAGTCCAACCCCCACCAAGGGGAAGCCCTTGCCAACTTCCGAGTGGCTTCCTCTCCAAAAGGGTCTGACAGCAAGGACTGTAGCAACATTACTGCCAGGAGAGTAGGGCATGGACAATGATGGGAAGAGAAGAAATGGAGGCACAGGGAGGGAGCACCTGGGTTTTCCCTCTACAGGTGAAGGGAGTTCCTAGAGTCAAAAGGCCGGTTTAATACAAATAAAAAGCACAGATGACAGAGACCACACAACAGCCTAAAGCCCAGGTGCCACAGAGGTGGGCACAGTGCAGTGGCTGGAGTGTGACCATAACAGCAAGGAGGGTGAAGAGTGGCACGAAGCAGGTACAGGGCCAGACGCTGCTTGAAGGAGTCAGGGGCTAGAAACAAGAGATCTTTCCGTTCCTCCATCCTGTTCCCATGGGGCCTGCGGGGCCAGCTCCCTGGGTCCCCCATCCCTGAAGTTGGTGGTTCTCCTCTGGTCACTCCCCATGTCCATGTTCATGCTGGGGGCCCTAGCTCTATATTTACATTTGCTAAACAAGGGATCTGGAGAACCCCTTTGGTCTCATCCATGCTCCAGTTTTCCCTTCTCTAAAGTGTGTGGCCACAGATCAAGAAAGGAGATTCACTTTCTGGAGTGCTCCTGTAAAGACAAGCCTTTGCTTGGCTGTCCCCCAGTAAAAGGCAGGAAGAGGTTTG